GTGTGTGTGTGTGTGTATGTGTGTGTGTATCTGTATGCACACAGACATTATATATATATATATATATATTAGAAGGGTTTGGGTTTGTGTGTATGTAATATTTAGGTCAGTCTTATAAACAGTATATATATACCGATAGACATAAACACACACATACAGACACACACACCTATATATATATATATATATATATATATATATATATATATATATATATATATATATATATAATTGTGTTTTGGAAGCAATCTTTCATTTATAAATGTTTCATTAAAGACGACAGATAAGGTACTGCAATTAAGCTTTTTATTTAATTTTCCTTGTGTTCGAACAAGTGCTTTCTTTTCTGGACACAGAGTGTGTAGACATTTGGACAGTTTTTACACACTTTGTATCCAGGAAAGAAAACACTGGCTTGAACACAAGAAAAATTAAATAAAAAGCTTAATCGCAGCAACTTGTCTGTCGTCTTCAATGCAATATGAATATATATATATATATATATATATATATATATATATATATATATATATATATATATTTGAGTAATTTCCATTTCTAAAAACAATTGTAATGACGAATGTATCATCTTATTTACTTATCATACGTGACAGTAGTTATAATTGGGAGTGTACCCTTATGTACCTTAGTTATTACACGACAATGGCAGCGTATATTTTGGCTTAAAGAACAAATCATACTCTACATGGCAACGCCATATTGCATACAGCTAGATAAAGTTAGATGTATTTGGGAACTCAGTTGATCTATTCTACCTGACCCAATATATACACCTGACCTGACACTAACCGATTATTAATTTTGTGATTGCTGCAAAATATTTCGATGAAGAAAACTTTCGCCAATCAAAACCAAATTCAAGAGTTTGTCAAAAACCTCTTCACATCATCATCTGCGGAATTTTTTTTCAAGAAGAGCTGCCTGAATAGTGGCAACAAAAACATTGTACATAATGGTGAATATTTTTAGTTGAATAAAATGTAATTGAACTGCAATTTTTTGGGAATAAAGTTTATAAAAAACGGTTTATTGTTCAGCCTAATAGTTCATAGATAAATAAAAGTTCAAATGACTTATCTTTTGAATTGAATTGTTTCGAAGATACCCTGTTCCGCCCGTCAAATTAAAAGAAATATATTTAAATATATAAATTATATAAAGAGAATAAAATAAGAGGTGAAGGGAAAGTTCGTAATAAAAAAAAACTCTAGGGATACAAATCCAGTAAAAAAAAATGAAGTGGGGGAAAGACGTCATTTTTACAAAAATCAACAGTGCTCAAAAATCCGAAATGGGAAATCAAACATTGTAATCGGAGTCAACTAAACAGACTAAGTACAATCAGTCAGTTCCTAAAACACTTCACCTAATGGATCATTAATTCCAAAACAGTCCGCTGCTTCATAAAAAAAATGTATTTGTCAATTAAAAGATAAGGAGTCAACCAAATGTTAAAATTAAAGTGAGCAATAAAAGGTGCAGATTCCATCCTGCCACTTGAGACGTGACCTTCTTTAAACTGACTCTCTTTAAAGTCTAAGCCGGTCAAATCAGGTTTAAACGAGGTACTCGAAATCATCACTAATGGTCGGTTAAAGATCGAAATTTTAGGTCAAGGTTAGGACTCAGGAGAGTAGTTAAGTACTGTGTATATCTTAGTATGGTGAAAAAGTTGTGAAATATAAAAAGTAGCGTCTATTTAAAAAGGTCAATGATGTTCTTAAAATGAATCGATGAGCAATAACCTATTTTTGGAAACTTCTCTCTAATATTTGTAAAATTGAATTGTTGGCTTAATTCTTTTTGTTGGAAACAAACATTTTCTATCACATTTTCTAAAACATTAAATTTATTTTATGAAACTTAATGTCATCATTACGATTTTGGAACAATGCATAATATTTGAAATCTTGGTTCATCCAACTTTACGGATGAAAAATGAAATTAACTTCAGAAAATAAGCTTCGAGGCAAATGATATTTGATTAACAATCAATAATATGAAGTTAATTATTTTATTTGATTTGAGTCTAAATTGAATAAAATATGAAAGAAACCATTTATATTTATTTACTTTCTTATGTTAGAGTAAGCTATCGATAAAAAATAATTTTCTTTTATTTCTCTTATACATACAAACATTGAAACATCAGATCTGAAATGTTTCATCTATTTAGTACATATGCACTATGTCTGTGTATGTGATCTTGGTCAATTCGCTTTTTACGGCTTATCAACCCTTTGCCGTTTATTTAAAGCCATAATATATTTTTAGATTGTAAGATTTTGTGGAGGGGTGGAGATAACGATATGAGTATCACTAATTAACCCATAGCTGAGGGAGAGAAGAGGTGAATTCATACGTTTCCCAAGGGTATTTTCCCGTAAGTGAATATAATGAAGCCAATTGGAATTAGAAATCAGCTCCCTCCGATTTCCAATTCCGAGCCATTATCCATTACACCACCTGCACATCCAAGCTTACATCACCAGGTATTCCCAAATAGTTACATATCTAGGTACTGACCAGGCTCGATGTTGCTTAACTTCGGTGATCGTACGGAAACCGGCGTTTCAAACATGTTTAGAATCGTTGGGGAATCATCAATGGCGAGACGATAATTGAGAAATCTCCAAGAAGACGAACACGCATGATGTAAGGAAAGAAAAATGGAAAAATATTCATTGACAAATATTCATGAATGAGATTCTCTCTCTCTCTCTCTCTTCCCCCTCTCTATCTCTCTCCTCCCCCTCTCGCTTCTCCCTCCTCTCTATATCTTTCTCTCCTCTTCCTCTCTCTCCTCCCCCTCTCGCTCCTCCCCTCTCTTTCTTCCTTTCTCATTTAGATTATTTGCTAACTGAATGTACATCGGAAATTTTAATTAACTTTTGGGAACTAACGTCGTTTGTGTGACGGTCGAAACTAGATTTTAGTATAAGTAATTCTTATGCTAAATTCCTGAAACATTTGAATTGAACTTAGGGAGTTACATGATCTTTATAAATAACCCACTGTGTTGCTTTAGTCATCCGTTTGACTATGCCAATTGGTATTTAACAGAAATTTAAGAAATAATATTAATATCAATAAAATATTTAAATGAATGAAAATTTCTTTTGATATATTTTAATAATAAAGCTGTGTATCTTGCTGCTAATGACTTTTAAGATAGCTATTGTGATATTAGAAATATTGAGGGGGGGGCGCTCGTACCATTTTCAAAAATATGTCCAGATGACCAAGCGTCAGATTTTATTTTGAAATCCTTTTTTGGTCAGTCCGAGAAATTTTCAGGACTCTAACATAATTTAACTTAATTCTATTTTGCATTATAACATGTTTTTTAAAGTTTTCAAAGAACAACTGAATTGTTATATGTCTCATCAAATATTTTACTTGGGCATAAAATTATAATCTTTCATATTTCTAAGTGTTATATAAATTGTCTTTTCGAATGTTTCATTTATATTATAGAATTTCTCAGATTCATTTATTCGGTGGATTCTATGAATCGACATTGACTATTTTTTAAATATCAACCTTCTTTTCATTTTACGCGGATTTACTTTATATCTTAAAACTTAATAAAAATATATATTTTATGGTTTAATTCTATTTTTATACTTTAAAATTACCAAAGATACATTTGTCAGCAAACGTGATAAGTTGAAATTTGTTTTACCACAATTTGAAAAAGAACCCCAAGTGTGTAAAGATCTTTACTTTTCTGTAAAACTTTTGAACTTGTTTTTGAAAATTCAATCCAAAATCTTCATACTTACATATAAATAATATTTTAACTCTTACACGTCGAAAGGATACCTCCTTTCTTTCCAATAAAAATAATTAATTCGAGAAGCACCGAAAATGGTTCAACCAAAGAAGGAATTAAAGAAAAGTTCTGTTTGGTCAGATTTTAAGAAATGGCTACCACAATATTTTAAAACTCATTTGGCGTGATTTCCATTTCATTATAGAAGGGAGAATCAAATATTAGTTGAAAGCAGATCCCAATTTGACGAAGATATTAAATAGGATTAGTCAGTCTGATAAGAGAGTTTAATTCCCATCACGTCTTCCAAAATCCTATTCTAGAATTAATGAAACGGAGACCTCACAGGAAACCGAAATGACCGCTGATTCTTGTCAAATGTTGTGTGACGTTGAGATAAACACAGAAACATTGAACATTTTTCTACGTCTTTTTATTTAGTTCAGACCAGCAGGATGAGATTAGTAATTTGTTCATCAGATGTCAACAAGATCTGTCGTTATAAAACGCAAATGGATTCTATAGGTCTAGGATAAATATTTTTTGCGTTGACTACGTTGATATATATATATATATATATATATATATATATATATATATATATTTAGTTGGATTGATGTGAGTTTGTGACAAACTCACATCAGTCCAACCAAATATGTTAGCACTATTTCTGATATTGAGCGCTTTCTAATAAGTACCGCGCATATATACACACATTTTTCACACATTTTATCCTCCTTGGGTCTATCCATACGGATTACCTAGTTTTCCATAAACTAACTAACTATATATATATATACGAAATGGAATATGTGGTCGAATCCATTAATTTCAATTAACTTCAAATGTTACACAAGGCCGAAAATGTGGAGCGCTCAGAGAGGATCGAACTCACTACTAAGTCGTAATTGATCGAAGGACATATTATGTTCCATAATGGGATGGGATGGGATTACACACCACTGATCTGTTTCACAAAAATAAAACGGTCACGTGACATTACTTAAGATCAATATTTTTCTCGAAGACAAGTTAATCCTGTGTATGACGATAAACTATATCCGGCAGGAAGGCCTCTGATCGTGTGACTGAAAATTTTGAGTAGCGTGTAACCACCTCTTAATTGCTGTTGTTCCCATGTCCACCCTGAACCAGGGGTAGTAGCACCTGTTCGGCTCCATGCAAATAATGAACCCCCAAATGCTATAAAAGTATCGAAATATATTTTTATAGTAAAAATACCGGCAATATTTTTTTATATAACACTGTAACACTACTACTAATAATAATACTACTAATACTACTACTACTAATAATAATAATAATCGGATTGTAACCAAGGCTATCCCAAGTAAAGCACGCAGCTTGTGTCTCTGACTGTAGGCGAATCTTTTAGTCCTAAATTACTACTAATTTACAATTATTAAGAAAATATTAGCAATGGACTTGTTAGTGATATCCAGTAATGAACCTAATTAGCGTAATACTGTACATAATCAGTTATTAGTAGTAGTAGTATTACGGGTTAGGGTAAAAGCATAGAAAATGAATCCGTGTAAATCAAACAGAAAATGATTTAACATTTTACAAATGTAAAATATATCTTAAGAAAAATAATAACTATATTATATTATATTATATATATTGAAGAATAAAAAATATTAAAAAATTAAAATCTTCAGATACACTGGGTTGTATATTAATATTCTTTCGTTTTTATTATTTCAGTTAGATTCCTCGACTAGTTTCGGCCAGCATGGCCATCATCAGAAGAAAAAAATTCCTGCTTGTTAATAGCAGTGAACTACAGAAATGAATGACTTGAGGGAAAAAATGAACTTTTATCTGTAGTTTTCATTTGTTTTTTTTTTTAATTTTTTATCATGAATTTTGGTCAATCCTTGTGTTGGTCAAACAGTCTCTTTTCAGTTGTTCAGATAAGAGCTGGATGGATTCATGCTGCTCTGAATTCCCTTGCTCATTTTGACAGTTTTATTGGTTCCTGGAAAGGGGATGTGTCTCTGATAAATGTGTGTTATTTGGTTCTTAGGGAGTGAGTGAGAATATTAGCATATATATATATATATATATATATATATATATATATATATATATATATATATATGCGTATTATAGCATGTATAATATCCGAAACAAAAGTCAAGATGATGAGACAAAGTGAAAAAAATTTATTAACGACGTGTTACACCGGAAAACATCAGCTCTCTTTGGCTTCCTCAGGTTATAATGAAATAAAAAGACAAAACTGTGTGCAAGGAAATTGTTTTGGCATCTCTGAGAATAAGTGGCAATCATAAATCAAATTAAATTAAGCATACGCTCGCCGACGAAATGCATCGTTAATAAATTTTATTCATCATCATCTTCACACAAACATATATATATATATGTGTGTGAGTGTGTCTGCGTGTGTGTGTGATGAAATGGACTAAGTGCGACAATTATTTTAATATATTTTTTGTTTATACTTTATTTTTACAAATACGAATATTTAAGTAAATAGTCTGTTTATAATAAACAGTATTAACAACATTTACCGGCCGAGAATATATATATATATATATATATATATATATATATATATATATATACACACACACACACATGATGGCCGGTGATGACTTGTCACTTCATGCCAGAAAGACATATATACTTCTTCACGTTACTGTCAACACAGAAATTATTGCACACATAATGTATCTATAGAAAGATATCCTATGATGGAGACCATATAATAAACCTATATTCTGTGTCTGTACCGTTCTCTCTCTCTCGTATAATTTAATTTGACTTAATGCCCATCAGTGAAAGCTGGAGTTAAGGAGATTATGGTAAATAAAGCGATAATTCCTTTTATAGGCGGATTACTTAGTGAAAAGAAATTGAAAAAATAGATGAGACATATGAAACACGCGTGTTTAGCCGCAAATAAAAACAATAGTAAAATTTATTTTCTACATTAAAAGTGTAAAAGCTTTCTTTAAAGGCTTAATTTTATATATATATATATATATATATATATATATATATATATATATATATATATATATAATTATTTATAAAAAAATTATAACATAAGTATGTTATAAAATCACTACAAAAATAGCCATTTTGTTTCAACACACTCGGTGTCTTATCAAGTGATGATGTTGAAGATATATTATTTATATATAAAGTATATATATTATTATATATAAATAAATTGTCACTAAATCTCATATATCTATATATAGTTTTAAGATATGTTATATTTATGGGTAGAAATAGCCAATACCACAGATTGAGCGTACATAAATATAAAAGTGTACATTGAAGTCAATACGAGATGATCATCATCTGAAAATTTCTGTTGACCTCAGTGTATATATATATATATATATATATATATATATATATAGAGAGAGAGAGAGAGAGAGAGAGAGAGAGTATGTGCGTGTGCGTGTGTGTGCGCGCGCGCAATTCCATTAACAGGTAGAAGAAGAAATCAACTGAAGGAATGACTCCATCATTGACGATGAGATTTCCTGAGCAATCTATTCCGCTAAATTCATTTAAAAACAGTATTTCCTTATGCCTGAAGCGAATGTCTGATATTTGGCACATTTAGAATATTACAGGAGGCTAATGAATAGTGGCTCGGATTGAGGAATCGGAGAGTCGAGTTCGAATTCCAGTCGAATCCATAACATTCACTTACGTGCTAATATCCTTGGGAAAGGTATGAATCATCTTCTTTTCCTCCCAGTTATGGGTAAATAGCAGGACAGACCGGGTTCTATCGCCTT